CCCTTGAGTAGAAGGATGTAAATACTTTATTGTAATAACTACACATCCACTGCCAATTCCCCCCTCCTTTACCCATCTTCTCCAACTTCGTGACATACTTCCACAAAGGAGTGTGATCATCTTGAACAGACTGTACACCACCAGAACTACCTTCTGCTTCCATTGCTATAAACAACAAGTACTAATTAAATATTAAATCATAACATATATAGAACTTAATAACTCATGAATCCGTGCTTCATAGGGTAATAGCTCATGAAATATCAATCTTGGCCACCGTGAAATTATTTAACCGTGAGTTAAAATCTCTAAAATTTACCAAAAATTGTGGGTTATAGCTCATGAAATATTAAAGTTTAGACTTTGCAAAATTATTGACCATTGGCTCCAAACGACTAAATGGCCAATAATAGTGGGTTATAACTCAAACTCGTCATTTTTTCCCTTTGTGAAATTATTTGATGAGGGGTCGAAACAACTGAAATTTTGCAAACGACTAAAGTTTATGCATTTTGACTTATGTAATCGTGAATTTGTCTCTGCTAAATTATTTAGCATTGGGTTGAAACAACTAAAAATGCTCAAAAATCGTGGGTTATAGCTACAAAAATTGTGAATTTTAACCTCCGAGGAATTATTTGCCAATTGGTCGAAACAAAAAAGTAGCCAAAATTCATAATTTATTGCTTACATGTCGAAACGACTAAAAATGTCGAGTAATCGTGAGTTTTAGGTCATGGAGTCGTGAATTTTGGCCTCACTGAAATTATGTTAATTGGTCAAAATGATTTTGACTCCATGCTATTTTGTTCCACTAGGTCGAAATGACTAAAAATATCCAAGAATTCGTGAATTTCGTGTACTGCGAAATTATTTGTATAGTAGTCGAAACAACTAAAAAGAGCCAAAAATTATAGATTATAGTTCATAATACATGAATTTTGACCTCTGTGAAATTATTTGATACTAGCCATTGGGTTGAAATAATTAAAAAAGGCTAGTAATCATGGGCTATAGCTCATCAAATAGTGAATTTTGGTCACAGCGAAATTATTTACCAATGGGTCGAAATGACTACAAATGACCAAAAAATTCGCGGGTTATAAATCGTGAAATCGTGAATTTTGGCCTGTGCGAAATCTTTTGCCAACGGGTTGAAACGACTAAAAATGGCCAAAAAATGCCTTAAATATCCCTAAAATTATAAAATTTAGCCTTCACAAAATTGTGTATTAGTTGAAATTACTTAAAATAGCTAAAAGCAGTTGGTCATAGCTCATGAATTACGAATTTTAGTCACCGCAAAATTATTTGCCAATGAGTCGAAATGACTAACACTTACCGAAAATCATTGTTTCATTAAAATCGCGAATTTTGTACTCCATGAAATTATTTGCTATTTGGTCGAAATGAAATCGTGAATTTTTGCTTTCGTAAAATTTTTTCTCATGTGTCAAAATGACTAAAAATGGTCAAAAATCGTAGATTATAGCTTCTGAAATCGTGAATTTCATACTCTGGAATTATTTGCCCTTGGGCGAAAGTGAATAAAAATGACAAAATTATGGATTACACCTTGTGAAAACGTGAACGTTAGATATCACGAAATTATTGCTCATGAAATTATGAATTTTTGCAGTGGTAAATTTTTTCCTTTATGTTGATGTAATAAAAAAGGCCAAAAACGTGGGTTATAGCTCATAAAATTTTAAACTTATTTGCTTTGGAAAATTATTTTCTCATAGGTTGAAAATAATGAATATGGCCAAAAATCGTGCACTAGAGCTCATGAAATCATGAATTTTGAACTATGTGAAATTATTTGCCAATGAGTCAAAATGACTAAAATGGATAAAATTTGTTAGTGTTAGCACATGAAATCGTGAATTTTTGAACTTAGCAAAATTATTTGCCAATGAGTCGAAAAATGATAAAAAATCATGAGTTATTGCTCATGAAATCGTGGATTTTAGCCTCTGCGAAGTTTTTTGCCCATAGGATGAAATGAAAAAATTGCTAAAAATCATGGGTTATAGCTCTTAAAATTGTAAATGTTTTGACTCAACTAAATTATTTCTTAATTGGTCCAAAGGACTGAAAATGACCAAATATCAAGGGTTACAGCTCATAAAATTGTGAATTTTGGACCTCACAAAATTAATTAGGCTATAGGTGAAAATGAATGAAAATGGCAAAAAATTATGGAATATATAGCTCATGAAATCGTGAGCTTTTGGCTCCGCATATTTTTTACCTTGTTGCGGATTATAGCTCATGAAATTGTGAATTTTCACCTCTGACTATTTTCCCTTAGGCTAAAACAACTAAAAATGATAAAAAAAATTCATGGGTTATAGCTTATGAAATCGTGAATCTTAGATTTTGAAAAATTATCTGCCAATTGGTCGAAACATATAAAAATTGCCAAATTTTTTGGGTAATAACTAGTGAAATATTGAATTTTAGACTGCAAAATTATGTCAATGGGTCAACATGACTAAAAATGGCTAAAAATTATTGGTTATACCTCATGAAATCGTAAATTTTGGAGTATGAGAAATTATTTGTTAATGGGTCGTAATGAATAAAAAAGGTATATAGTTATGGGTTATAGCTCATGAAATCGTAAATTTTAGACTCTGCAAAATTATATTCCCATTGGTTGAAATGAGAGACTAATCCAAAATCGTTGGTGATAGCTCATGAAATCTTGAATTTTAGACTGCGAAATTATTTATCCATGGGTTAAAACGATAAAAAAGAAAGTAAAATTCCATAAGTTATTGCTCATAAAATCATAAATTTCGTTTTCCGTGAATTTTTGCCCAAGATCGAAACTATTAAAAATGGCAAAAAATAATAGTTATAATTCATGAAATTATGAATTTTTGCCATCGACAAATTATTTACTAATGGCTCGAAATAGGGTAATGAACTATGGGTTATTGCACATGAAATTGTGATTTTTAGCATATGAAATCATGATTTTTTGACTCCGCAAAATTATTTACCAAACGACGAAGCTACTAACAGTAGCAAAAATTGTGGGTTGCTCAGGAAATCATGAATTTTGGCCAATTGAAAACTATTAATAGGTCGGATATTTAAAATGGCCAAAGTTCGTTAGTTATAGGTCATGAAATCGTAAATTTTGGACTAGAAATTATTTGCTAATATAGGTCGAAAGAAATACATAGTAAAAAATTATAGGTTATTGATCATGAAATCGTGAATGTTGGCCTTCATAAAATTATTTGCCAGTCATCAAAACTCTAAAAATGGCAAAAAATCGTGGGTTACAACTCATGAAATCCTGAATTTTGACCTTCATGACTAAACATATAGCTGAAAATCATGGGTTATAACTCATAAAATTATGAATTTTTGTTTATGTTTAATTTTTTTCCACGGGGCCAGGACAACTAAAAAGTGCCACAAGTCATGGGCTATAACCCATGATTTGTGACTATTTTCAGTCGTTTCAACTCATTAACAAATAATTTTTTGGAGGTCAACATTCACAATTTCGTAAGTTGTAACCTACTATTTTTGGTCATTTTTTGTATTTTCGGCCCATTGGCAAATAATTTTAGGGAGGCCGAAATTTATGATTTCGTGGGCGATAACCCAATATTTTTTTACTATTTTTATTAGTTTCAACTAATTGAAAAATAATTTTTTGGAGTCCAAAATTCGTGATTTCATTCCACGATTTTTGGCCATTTTTATTCATGTAGACCTGTTGGCATATAATTTGCGGAGTCCAAAATACAAGATTTCATAAGCTGTACCCCATGATTTTGGCTTTTTTTTCATTTCAATCCATTAGCATATAATCTTGCAGAGTCCAAAATTCAAGATTTCATTAGCTATACCCCACGATTTTTTGTCGTTTTGACTCGAGAATTTTTTTGCGAAGGATAAAATTTTAAGATTTCATGAGTTATAACCTACGCTTTTTAACCATATTTATTCGTTTTGACCCATTGACAAATAATTTTGTAAAGTCTAAAATTTACAGTTCCATGAGCTATAATCCTCAAAATTTTACCATTTTTATTCTTTTCAACCCATTGGCAAATAATTTTGCGAACTCTAGTTTTCATGATTTCATGAGCTATATTTGTCCATTTTCATCTATTTCGACCCTGGTAAAAAAAAATTGTTGTGGCAAAACTCACAATTTCGTGAGCTATATACCTCACGTTTATTGGCCATTTTTATTCATTCCAAGCCATTAGAAAATAATTTTGTGAAGTCTAAAACTCACGTTCATGAGCTATAAGCAACAATTTTTGGACATTTTTAGTTGTTTGGACTGATTGACAATTAATTTGCGGAGTCCAAAATTCATTGTACGTATTTCAAAATTCGTGATTTTCATGGTCATATAACTTGCAAGTTTTGTCAATTTTTGTCCGTCTAAACCCAATGACAATTAGTGATGGTTATTTCAAAATATGCGATTTTCATAGGCTATTACCCACATTTGTTAAAATTTGCGAATTTGATGGGATATAATTCATGATTTTTGTCAATTTTCTTCTTTGTCTCAATTGTTTTTGTCTATTTCCATTACTTATGAACCAATGAAATATAAATTTGGTTAGGCTCAATGCTATTATCATGGTCATGTGATTGCATTAGGCATGTAGTTTGCCTTGTTCGGCCACATAAATTGAGCTGCATTCATGTCGGCCACACAAATTGGGCTGCAATCATGCTTGGATCCGATATCTATTATTTATATTTCTTTGGCTGTTGGTGTCTCTGTGTCTCCAATTACCTATAGGCACATGTATCATTGTTGTATGTTGCCTTTATGAGTATGAAAACACTGAGAGGTGTTTGAGATAAAAATGACGCACGTCTTTCATGAGAATACCGGACATTCATGCAATTTTAAATTAAGTTCATCAGTTGTTTAGGCTCTTTTTGATTGTATGTAATCTCTAATAAGTATAATATCATAGTTTAATTTGTATTTTGTGTGTCAACAGAGGGCCTTCATACAGAAAACTCCCAATAATGTGGAGATAAGGTTGAAAAGTCTTTCGACCTCGACGGCTCGATGAATGTAAAAAGTCCCTTTTCGGAATCCTAGACTTCAGCTACTGACACATGCTTGTTGATGCAGCCGAACAAGCAGGGGTAACAATACTTAGCAGTGAATTGATTGGTTGGAATATTTTTGTTTGGTTTCAGGTATTATTTGTGTTTTCATGCATTTCTTTTCTTTCTATATGGATGAATTTGGATGCTCTTGTACGGTTCAAGAAATTTCTAGGTTCATGTGGTATAGTTTGTTTAGGTTCAGCTTGTACGGTATCCGATATTAGTTGTATGGCTTCAGGTTATTCATCTTGTAGGGTTTGAGAAATGTATATATTGTATCAAACAAGTATATATAATGTATCAGTTTGTTCAAGTTAAATTCATTTAAGACATTATTTGTATTGTGTCAAGTAATTTATGTTGTGTGAGTCTTTTTAAGGTTTCAGTTATTTTAGTTGTGAAAGTTGTTCAGGTTGTACGTTATCTTGTTGCGTCGACTTTTCCATGCGCATAATCCACAGTTCTAATTCTCTTGGAGGGACAGAATGCATAAAGAGGTATACTTTGCAGATAAAGAGCTATAATTTGTCTATAAAGCGCTACACTTTGCAATATAATGTTATACTTTTGGTATGCGAAGCTACAGTATGTCGTAAGAGGTAGAATTTGATGGTAAAAGGACATACTATTTTCCATATTTCTGTTGTAGTTGCATCAATAGTACCCAGACATTTTCTTATACATGCAATACATCAATTTCTTTCTTGAAGTGACACCCCATAGAGAGGTACATTTTGCCAATAAAGAGTTCATACTTGTTGCCCCTAAGAAGCTTACACTGTTACACCTTTCGCCCCCTAAGAAGCTACACTTTGCACTAAAGTGCTATGCTTTTGGTATAATAAGAATTTTCAATGTGATAAAGAGCTAAAATTTGATCTTACAGAAATAGGACATATTAAGCGTCCACGGGTTTTAGGTATAAAACTTGCATAAAAATGCTACATATACGACCGGTGGTTATAAAAAAAATGCAACTAATTAAGTAGCCATCACAGTCATTTTACATAAAGAGTCAGGACCTTCATTGAACAAACCATGTATTACAGTGTAAAAAACTACATATATTACAATGCCTGGATGGATCGACAGATTTTTGAACGAACCATGTATTACAATGCCCAAAAGGAACCATATTAATACATCATCTTTTTTCGAACACAACAAATTGTTTTGAACAATCATGATTGCCGAAAGGAGCTATAATCTCACGAACTACTTAAAGCCGTACTGCCTCAACAAGGTGAAGAACATGAACACCATATTGCCGAAGAGCCAGTTGCCTCAGGCAATGGCATCTGCGAGCGTGTTTACGCTCTCGTCAGGTCTATTGTGTTCACTGACCCCTCCGATGCAAGTTTAGCAGCATACTTATCTCTCAACACACTTCTCTCTCAGCCGAGTATATCAAATTTACATGGACAAATTTTCAAAATAGACCCTTTTGAAAATTTATTCACATTCGAAATTTATTTAGCACTTTCGACCTAGTTTTAGCCAAATTTTTTCGCATTCGAAATTTTGTGCATGCCAAACTACATGATTTCATGAGCTAACCCACGATTTGTGGTCATGTTTAGTCGTTTTGACCTGTTAGAAAATTATTTCATGGTAGCTAAAATTTACGATATTATGAGTTGTAATCCAAGATTTTTTGCAATTTCTAGTCACTCAACCCATTGTCAAATAAATTCACAGAAGTGAAAATTCACGATTTCGTGAGTTATTACCCACAAATTTCAACCATTTTAGTTGTTTCGACGCCTTGGCAAATAAATCCACCAAGCCTAAAATTCACTATTTTATGAGCTATGACACATGATTTTTTCGCCATTTTTAGTCGTTTTGACCCATTGGCAAATAATTTCGCAGTGTCTAAAATTTATTATTTCGTGAGCTATAACTCATGATTTATTTTCAATTTTTAGTTATTTAGACTCATTGACAAATAATTTCGTAGAGGCCAAAATTCACAATTTTATGAGTTATATCCCATGAATTATTTTTTATTTATTTTTAGTCATTTCGAATCATTATCAAATAATTTCATGATAGCCAAAATTCATGATTTCTTGGGCTGTAACCCATGCCTATTAGTCATTTTTTGTCATTTTTAACTATTGGCAAATAATTTCACGAAGGCCAAACTTCATGCTATCATGTGCTATAACTCATGATTTTTTTCTATTTTAAGTCATTTAGACTCATTGGCAAATAATTTTGCAAAGGACAAAATTCAAATTTCATGAGCTAAAACCCATGATATTTTCTATTTTTAGATTTTTTGAACTATTTGTAAATAATTTTGCGGATGCTATAATTCACGATTTAATAAGCTATAATCCACAATTCAAAGTCATTTTTACTTGTTTCAACCCAAGGTCAAATAATTTCATGGAGACCCAAATTCACGATTTTATGAGCTATAACCCGTGATTTGTGACCAATTTTAGTTGTTTCGACTACTTGAAAAATAATTTCATGGTAGCCAAAATTCACGTTATTACAAGATATAACCATAAATTTTTTGCCCTTTTCAGCTATTTTTAGTTATTCCAACAGTTGTCAAATATTTTCGCGGAGGTCAAAATTCACAATTTTGTGAGTTATAACTCATGATTTTTGGCCATTTTTAGTCGCTTCAACCCATTCTCGAATGTTTCATAGTAAGATTCACAATTTCATAAGCTATAACCCATTATTTTTGGCCATTTTTATTTCTTTCAACTCGTTGTCAAATAATTTTGTGATGACCAAAATTCATGATTTCTTCGGCTATAATCCACGAATTTTTTTTACCCTTTTTTGTTGTTTGGACCCCTTGGTAAACAATTTTACAAAGGGTAAAAATCAAAATTTAATGAGTTATAACCCACGATCATTGGCTATTTTTAGTCGTTTTGAACCAATGGTATATAATTATGCAGAGTCCAAACTTCACGATCTCTTAAGCTATAACCTCAATTTTTAACCGTTTTTAGTCATTTTGACCTGTTGTCAAAATAATTTTGCGGTGACCAAAATTTACCAATTTCTTTAGCTTTAATCACTATTTTGGCCATTTTTATTTGTTTTGACTCATTTGCTAACAAACTCGCGGAGATCAAAATTTATGATTTCATGAGATATAACCTTAGATTTTTGGACATTTTCTAGTCGTTTTGACCCATAGGCAATAATATTGTGGAAAACAAAATTCACGATTTCATGATCTATAACTCTCGATTTGTGGCAATTTTTAGTAATTTTGACCAATTGGAAAATAATTTTATGGTTGCCAAAATTCATGATATTGTGAGCTTATAACCCACGATTTATTCCATTTTTAGTCGTTCAATTTGCTGGCAAATATTTTCACAAAGGCTAAATTCATGTTTTCGTGAGGTATAACCCATGATTTTTATCTATTTTTAGTCATTTCGACCCATTGTTAAATAATTTCGCAGTGGCCAAAATTCATGATTTTATGAGCTGTAACCCACTATTTTGACCATTGTTAATCGTTCCGACCCATTAGCTAATAAATTCGCGAAGGCCAAATAATTTCATGACATGTAACCATAGCTTTTTGGCCATTTTAGTCGTTTTTACCCCTTTGTAAATAATTTTGCATATATGACCAAAATTGACAAATTCATTAGTTATAACACATGATTTTAGGTCAATTTTAATCATTTTGACCCATAGGCAAATACTTTTACGGGGGCCAAAATTTACAATTTCATGAGTTATAACCTACGATTTGTGACCCTATTTAGTCATTTTGAACCATTACCAAATAATTTCACAGTAGCTAAAATTCAAGATTTCGTGAGCTATATCATATGATTTTGTGGTATGATTTTCGTGAGTATAACCCATGATTTTTGGCTATTTTTTGCCATTTTTAGTCGTTCGACCCATTGCCAAATATTTTCACAGAAGTCAAAATTCATGATTTTGTGAGCTATAAACTATGATGTTTGGTCATTTTTATTCGTTTTGACCCGTTTCAAATATTTTTTTTGCCAAAATTCACAATTTCATGGGCTTTAACCCTTTTTTTGTTATTTTTTGGCGGTTAGATCCATCGGCAAATAATGTCGGCGATGCTAAAATTAATGATTTGATGGACTAAAACCCACCATTTCTAAAACATTTCAACATGTTCGCAATAAATTTCGCTGACACAATCATTTATGACTTTATGAACTATAGACTACAAATTTTGGCCATTTTTTTTTGTTTCAACCTATTGGGAAATGATTCCCCGAAGGCCGAAATTAACGAATTCGTAACTATTAACCTTGTTTTTTGCCTTTTTAGTTTCAACTTAATGTCAATAATCCGTAGAGACCAAAATTCACTATTTCACAAACTATAACACATGATATTTGGCCATTTTTAGTCTTTTTGACCCGTAGGCAAATAATTTCACAGAGGCCAAAATTCATGATTTTATGAGTTATTATCCACAAAAGTTGGTCATTTTTAGGTGTTTCGACACATTGGCAAATAAATTCTTGGAGGCTAAAATTAACAGGTTATTGAGCAAAACCCATAATTGTATGTAATTTATAGTCGTTTTGACTCATTTGTAAATAATTTCGCGAAGTCTAAAATTTATGGTTTCATGAGCTATAACGCATGATTTTTTTTCATTTTAATTGTTTAGACCCATTGACAAAAAAACTTGCAGAGGCTAAAATTCATGATTTCAAAAGTTGCAACCCATAATTGTTTTATTTTAGTCATTTCAAACTATTATTAAATAATTTCACAGTGGTCAAAATTCATGATTTCATAAGCTATAACCATAGATTTGTGACCACTTTTAGTCATTTCGACCCATTGAAAAATAATTTCATGGTAGCCATAATTCACCATACCGTGAGCTATAACCCATGATTTTTGGTCATTTGTAGTCGTTAAACACTTTGTCAAATATTTTCGCAAAGGCCAAATTCACGATTTCATGAGCTCTAACCTACGTTTTTTGTCCAATTTTAATCGTTTTAACCAATAATTTCACAATAGCCAAAATTCATGATTTTGTGAACTATAACCCACTATTTTTGACCATTTTTAGTCATTTCTTGAGCTAGGCAATAATTTTGTGGAGTCTATAATTCACAATTTTATGAGTTATAACCCATAATTTTTTACCATTTTTAATCGTTTCAACCCGTTGTCAAATATTTTCACGGAGATCAAATTTTATAATTTCGTGAGCTGTAGCTGTAGCTATAGCTTGTATGGGTAAAAGTATTAACTCTTTATTGCCAAAATTTAACTCTGTGTTCTGTCACTTCTAAAAAGAAATTGAAAGTACTACATGTATAAGAAAATGTCTGGG